TTTTCCTGCACAACTTCATAGGAATTTTAACACGGACTTGATCCAGCTTAGACCTCCAAATTAACAGGGTGACATGGGCAATTTTCACACACAAATCATAAAACTATATTTCAGTTAACCGCCTTTAAAATATATATACCGTTCTGGGTAAATTAGAATAGTTATTAAATCGCGAGAATATTTTTGACTTAAATGATGATTTTATTATTAATGGAAATTAAGCTACTATATGAGGTACATTTGCTGTGATTACGCTGTCCTTCATGTTTTGCGTAAGTCTACATTTTGCTGTATGTGCTTGTAATTTTTTAAAATATGTGCGTACAATTTTTGCAGGTCTAGTTACCCCCCTGATGTTACGTAAAAGCATGACAGTTAAAGTGGCATCAAAATCATTTACTTTTGCAGTTGAGGAAGGGCTCCCAGCTGGATACAAAATCTGCTTTTGGCTTGCATTCAGAACATTTCTCCTACTTAACTGAAGCAAGTTTTTTCTTACAGTTGGGTTGTTCAAAACATTACACAATATGCCTGTGGATGGGTCAAAGTCCCGTGGATAAGTTTTCTTAATTTAATTCTCTTGTCAATACATCTCTAGGAACATCCGTAGCACGTTCCAGAAACACTCTCATGCGAAGATAATTCTCTTGTTCCTCATCCATTTGAGGTGTGAGGAAAGGTTTTGATAATGCCATTGTTTTAGTTCTGAAAAAAGTATTCATTTCAATCATTGTTTAAATAATTAAAAAGTTATTTGTAATTTTAGGCATTGACTTAACAATATGTTGTTGTCACCTGTTATATAATCATGCTTGACATAAATTCATTCTCTATTTATAATTTCCATTTATTAAATGATTGTGTATAATGTGGTGCTCACAGGTAATATTTTTTATAATCGGATTACAACATTGATGCAATCTACATAACCCACTCAGTTAATTGATTACATGTAGATTTGTACCAACAAGTGACCATTTATAACAAATTACCAGTTTTCTGAACTGCTTTAAGTGAGCGTTTCATGGGGGGGGGGGGTAGGCAGGTAGTGATTATCAAATTCACAAATCAGAGTAAATAAATGTTTAGTTAATATCACACTGTAGTGCATGTCGAAAATCCTGGAAATCACAAATCACCAGGTAAATTGACTTCATTTCAGAAAGGGCAGAAAATTAAAACCCACGTTCACTAGTCACAGAAATGTGATGATTCATGAATCACGATTCATAAGGAGAAGGTTTCATGAATTTCCTTGAAGTGAAAAGTGGTTTTCACTGGTAATGAATGTACAAAATGGAACCCTCCTAAAACTGTCTTTACTTGGTATTACACCACTGATGTGGCAAACCTATCCATTGAGGTCAGAAGGAACATTCCAGATTATCTGTTTGTTACATTTTGTTACCAAAAGTAACTATCTATGTAACAGAGATAATAATAGTGATAAGAGCTGACACCTCTGTGGCCACAGTCTGTGTAGACAGGAGATAGCACCCCATGCTGCAATGAATCACCGTTCTATCGCCTGTTGATAACATAGTGAGCAAACATGCATTATGTTCATGTAACACAATCCATTCATAAAAGAGGGGAGGTATTATAAAAAGTAACCAGTTAAGTTGTTAAAAATTGTTCCTTTTGGAAACATTCCATTATTTCTGAGCTCAACTGTAGCTGTTGGTACCTACCAAGAAGGAGGCTGTGGCCATGTTTTGCACAGCCATTTTTCATGAAACATTGTCAGTTTTTCAAATCATGGCCCACGATGAAGCCGTGTGTTTTCAATACATTTTTATTCACGATAAATAATACATAAATTTGTGTTTAAAACACACAAAAAACCCCAAAACGGCCATATTTGGTTCAGTTCAGAAATAACATTGCTGCTCTTTCGTTACATGTGTCGTTATGTGTCAACTTGCCACCAATAGTACACTACTACGTGTTTTAAAGTCAATTTAAATATTCTATTGTGTTTTAAGACCCAATTGAAAATGGTTTGACCTTAAAAATAGTTTAGTCAGTTAACTGGTGACAGAGATTACTCTAAATGGTTTAAATATGTTAAACTATGTGTATAAAATCAAAGGTAAAATTGTCTAGATATTGTGTTTTTGTTATGTTTAATAGTTAAAGCAATTTTTCCAGATTGGAATATAATATGTAATTGCCATTACAATTATTCATGGAAATAAACAAATTTGATATCATTTTCCGGGGGTGGGTGGGGGGTGCAACTGATCAAACAATATTAAAAACTGGGGCAAAATTTCGTTAAATTTAATTTCAAAATGTCACCAGAATGCGCTAAATGGCCTCAAAAAATCCAATATCGCCCCCGCACCCCCCTCCCCCGCCCTCTGGACGCATCTCGGTCCATTTTACCTCATTGCTATTACACTCCCAGAATTTATAATTACACTCCCAGTCTGTCCACTTCTGGCTAATTCTCTGAATTTAGGAGTAATTAAAATGGCAAGTGTAGGACACCCAGGCATCATATTGTCTTTACTCACCTGGGAGCGAATCTGTCCCTGATTGATATTCAGATATTTTCTTTTCTTTTTTTTACGTGTGAATTTTTCAGGTGACCCAATGTTACTGCCTCTGAGATGTCCCAAATGACGTCCACTGAGGTTTCACTGTTGATCTTCTTAATGACAAGGCTTCGTCTGAAAATGAAGAGTTCAATCAAGATAGATTGCATGGTTTTGATTTCATTTTATGTTTTAGTAAAGATGAACTATGTGTCAGCTTGTTTCAACTTCACCCATGCAATTTGTTTCTGTAAAACTCTCCAGCCCACTTCCTTTGCTTGCTTAGTTCTGGAATGTTCTAATGTTCCATAAGTCCAGTGAGAAACATGAGCACTACATCGTACATGTAGGGTTGGCCCCTGTCCAAGTTAAAGACATATTTTTTATCATGCAAAAACAGCTTAATAGTAAACTCTTGAGTTAAGTTAATGATTTAATACTCCAAAAGGTTCCATGTATCGATCCGTAATCAACAATATATTTTATAATTCTTTTACCTGTTTATGTACCCACTTCCTTCTTCACGTTAGGAGATGACGTTAAGTCTAAAGTCCTAAAGTAACAAAGTACTGTGCTAAATATAGTCTTATCTTTCTGTGTGGGTTTTATCATGGTTTTTGTTTATACAGCAAACGATTAATGTGACCCATAGAAAAGCAGACTGCTTTCGTTGTTATTCTTGCAATTAAAAAAATGTAAATTATTACATCTACATACTCTAGCCCATTTTGTTTAATATTGTGACTGTCATGATTTCAGCAGTATGTGCCAGTGTGTTGTGTATGTGCTTGTGTATGTGCTTGTGTGTTTGTGTGTGTCAGTGGGACTTTCTTAGTGGATATGTAAGTGCATGTGTGTGTCAGTGTGTGTGTGCATATGTTTGTGAATGGGTGTCAGTGAATTTGTCAGTGCATGTGCATCAGTGTGTCTGTGTCTGTGTCTGGGTTTGTGTGTGAGAGAGAGAGAGAGAGAGAGAGAGAGAGAGAGAGAAAGCTAGTATGCGAATGTGATGCATTTGGTTAGATCAACACCATTTCCCATCAGTATTCTTTCTCCATCCTGCGATGGGTTTTGATTTTGGTTTGCACAGCTAGCTCATTCTTGGGTTTAATCATGACATGTTCCCACTAAAAGATGGCGGCGGTGGCAGGCAGAGGGGGGTTACACTTGTTGACCAGTATAAACATCATATTTATTAGTACTACCAGCGTGTACGCTGACTGTACTCATGGTTATAGTCCCGACCAGTCTCGTCTGGCTCCGCCGGCTCCGCGTATTGGCGCCGGATACAAGTCACCGTTACCGCTTCTCCTCCTAGACCGCAAGGACCCCTGTCCCCATCTCTTGGATTTAGGTCACATATAACCTCAACTTGAACCCCCAGGTTTTTTTTGTCTCAGTCGGTGCATTGACCTGGGCATGACGCTCGTTGAAATGCACCCTTGTCAAAATTTTTGAAAATTCAATGCCAATAATCTACCCTACGGAAGGAATTATGGGAAAAATTTCTACAAATGGCTGACCGAAAGTCATATGTGGAGATTTCAAATATGCCCTTTGATTTGATCTTTGACCTTTGTTTCAAGGTCAAACGGGACAAAATTTTCAAAAAAAAAACGAATTTTTTTACGAAAAAAATTTTTTTTTGCTGTTATTCAGACACTACACAGACTTAACCAATAATATTAATGGAAAGTGTTCCCCTTTGGGTCATTTTCATCTCCGTGAATTTGAGGTCAATCGGTGCATTTTCACGGGAGTAGCGGCCATAAGATACCGAAACTGAAAACTGTCTCTAATTCAGGAACCGTTAATGCTAGAGATCCATTCTTTTTTGCTTTTTTAGAGCATGTAAAGCTCAATACTGGCAGTGGTCTCCGTATTTTGTATTGCGTACGGTTTTTGAGTTACGCTGTATCAAAAAGGACATATTGGTGGCGAAAGCAAAATGTGCAGTACGGTAATGGATAATAAATTTTGAACCCCGGGAAAATAAAACATAAGGCTTGGCAAAGCAGACAACTTCTGGTCACATATGACATTATTTCATGAAGTTTGAACATCTGGAACTTCTGAGCACCTCCAATTTCAAGAATTTCAACCAAAATGACCTTTTCTTTATTTTAATTATTTTTTTCTGTAGGAAATTTATGGCACATTATTGTAACTCCAAAATTATAACATTTAGTCCCTTATATCTCCAAAACTGGCAGAGATAGGTCCATAGTTAGTAGTTACTATTGAAGTTGAATAGGAAGTCATATACTGGCAATCTAAATGTGACCTTGAAATTGACCTTTGACCTACTTTTTATCATGAATTGAACTTTGTAAACTTTGGCTCCCTTTTATCTCCAAAACTGGCAGAGATAGGTCCATAGTTACTATTGAACTTGAACAGGAAGTCATATACTAGCAATCTAACCGTGACCTTAAAATTGACCTTTGACCTACTTTTCATCATGAATTGAACTTTGCATTTTTTGGTACCCTTTTATCTCCAAAACTGGCAGAGATAGGTCCATAGTTACTATTGAACTTGAATAGGAAGTCATATACTGGCAATCTATATGAGACCTTGAAATTGACCTTTGACCTACTTTTTATCATGAATTGAACTTTGCACGTTTTGGTTCTCTTTTATCACCAAATATTATTGAATTTGAATATGAAGTGATTAGAGGCATTTAACTGTGGCCTTAAAATTGATCTTTGACCTACTTATCACCATAAATTGACCTTTGACCTACCTTTCTATGAACTGAACTTTGATTGTACCATTTTTAGTTATATATATTTTTTGCGTATTTTGAGAATTCTTGTTGATTGCATTTTTTACAGCTTGTCAAGCACAAGACTGGTAGTGGTGTCCCTTTTTTGTGGGGCGGGGTCTATACGAATGCGCTTACTCCAGCTGGTGGTACAATATTCGGAGGCGGTATCGCCTCTCTGATCCTCTAGTTAATTTTAGGCATTGACTTAACAATATGTTGTTGTCACCTGTTATATAATCATGCTTGACATGAATTAATTCTCTATTTATAATTTCTGTTTATTAAATGATTGTGTATAATGTGGTGCTCACAGGTAATATTTTTTATAATCGGATCACAACATTGATGCAATCTACATAACCCACTCAGTTAATTGATTATATGTAGATTTGTACCAACAAGTGACCATTTATAACAAATTACCAGTTTTCTGAACTGCTTTAAGTGAGCGTTTTATGAGGGGGTGGGGGGTAGGCAGGTAGTGATTATCAAATTCACAAATCAGAGTAAATAAATGTTTAGTTAATATCACACTGTAGTGCATGTCGAAAATGCTGGAAATCACAAATCACCAGGTAAATTGACTTCATTTCAGAAAGGGCAGAAAATTAAAACCCAGGTTCACTTGTCACAGAAATGTGATGATTCATGAATCACGGTTCATAAGGTGAAGGTTTCATGAATTCCCTTGAAATAAAAAGTGGTTTTCACTGGTAATGAATGTACAGAATGGTACCCTCCTAAAAACCCTCCTTTTTTTTTGTATTACACCACTAAATGTGGCAAATCTAGCCGTTAAGCTCAGATAGAACGCTCCAGTTTGTTATCAGTTTGTTACAATTTGTTACCAAAAGCACCCATCTAGGTAACAGAGATATTTATAGGGTACTAGAGCTGACACTTCAATGTCACAGGAGATAACATCCCATGCTGCAATTAATCACTTAAATATTGTCAGTTGATAATATAGTGAGCAAACATGCATTATGTACACAATCCATTCATAAAAGAGGGGAGGTGTTATAAAAAGTAACCAGTTAAGTTGTTAAAAATTGTTCCTTTTGGAAACATTCCGGAGCTCAACTGTAGCTGTTGGTACATACCAAGAAGGAGGCTGTGGCCATGTTTTGCACAGCCATTTTTCATGAAACACTGTCAGTTTTTCAAATCATGGCCCATGATGAAGCCGTGTGTTTACAATACATTTTTATTCATGATAAATAATACATAAAATTGTGTTTAAAACCCAGAAAAAGGCTTGTGTCTTGGGTAAACAAAAACGACCATATTTGGCTCAGTTCAGAAATAACATTGCTGCTCTGTCGTTATATGTCAACTTGCCACGGATAGTACACTACTATGCATTTCAAAGTCAATTTAAATATTTAATTGTGTTTTAAGATCCAGATGAAAATGGTTTGACCTTAAAAACATTTTAGTCAGCTAACTGGTGACAGAGATTACTCTAAATGGTTTAAAATGTAAAACTACGTGCATAAAATCAAAGGTGAATTTGTCTAGATATTGTGTTTTTGTTGTTTAATAGTTAAAGCAATATTTTTCAGATTGGAATATAATATGTAATTGCCATTACAATTATTCTTTGAAATTATGAAATATGATAAAACTTGATCAAACAATATTTTGATTTCAAAATGTCACCAGAATGCACCAAATGGCCTCAAAAAAATCATATATCCCCCCCCCCCCGGACTCTGGCAGCATCTCGGTCCATTTGACCTCATTGCTATTACACTCCCAGAATTTATAATTACACTCCCAGTCTGTCCACTTCTGGCTAATTCTCTGAATTTAGGAGTAATTAAAATGTCAAGTGTAGGACACCCAGGCATCATATTGTCTTTACTCACCTGGGAGCGAATCTGTCCCTGGTTGATATTCAGATTTTTTCTTTTCTTTTTTTTTTTACGTGTTAATTTTTCAGGTGACCCAATGTTACTGCCTGTGAGATGTCCCAAATGACGTCCACTGAGGTTTCACTGTTGATCTTCTTAATGACAAGGCTTTGTCTGAAAATGAAGTGTTCAATCAACATAGATTGCATGGTTTTGATTTCATTTTATGTCTTAGTAAAGATGAACTATGTTTCAGCTTGTTTCAACTTTACCCATGCAATTTATTTCTCTAAAACTCTCTAACCCACTTCCTTTGTTTGATTAGTTCTGGAATGTTCTAATGTTCCATAAGCCCAGTGAGAAACATGAGCACTACACCGTACATGTAGGTTTGGCCCCTGTCCAAGTTAAAGACACATTTTTATCATGCAACAATAGCTTAATAGTAAACTCTTGAGTTAAGTTAATGATTTAATACTCCAAAAGGTTCCATGTATCCCGTAATCAACAATATATTTTATAATTCTTTTACCTGTTTATGTACCCACTTCCTACTTCACGTTAGGAGATGACGTTAAGTCTAAAGTCCTAAAGTAACAAAGCACTGTGCTAAATATAGTCTTATCTTTCTGTGTGGGTTTTATCATGGTTTTTGTTTATACAGCAAACGATTAATGTGACCCGTAGAAAAGCAGACTGCTTTCGTTGTTATTCTTGCAATAAAAAATGTAAATTATTACATCTACATACTCTAGCCCATTTTGTTTAATATTGTGACTGTCATGATTTCAGCAGTATGTGCCAGTGTGTTGTGTATGTGCTTGTGTATGTGCTTGTGTGTTTGTGTGTGTCAGTGGGACTTTCTTAGTGGATATGTAAGTGCATGTGTGTGTCAGTGTGTGTGTGCATATGTTTGTGAATGGGTGTCAGTGAATTTGTCAGTGCATGTGCATCAGTGTGTCTGTGTCTGTGTCTGGGTTTGTGTGTGAGAGAGAGAGAGAGAGAGAGAGAGAGAGAGA